CAGGATATGTTCCCGACCGAGAAACAGTTCAAATTGAATCCGGGATTAAATACAGTAGTCAGTAAGTGAAATTACTTACGTTTCTTTTTTTTCTTCCCCTTCTTCTTTTTCCTCTTCTTTTTTAAATTCTTTCTGAAAGAATCATTTTCTTAAAATAGACGGAGAACGGTTTGTTCAGGATATGAATTGTCTTCGAAGATACGCATACGCGAAAGTGGACGTAATTGGAAAAATTGTTTCCTTTTCTTTTCTGGGACGGGAGGGGGGGAAATATCAAAAATTGTTGTGTAGATGAACGATACTCGAAGAAAGAAAAGAATGGATGAAAAAAAGGAATGGAGAAAGAAGAAGAGGAAGAAGAGTATAATTTTTTCAGAAATAATATCTTTTTTTTTTATTTTTTTATCTTTTTTTTCTTCGTGATGATTTCCACGTTTCTTTTTTTTCTTTTTCTTTTTTTTTTAAATATACTTAATACATGCTGAATTATTATGTATCCCGACACTTTACATTCCATACTGACGCTTGGAAGCCAAATTGATCGAATCCATCTTTTGAACCGTTCACTTTTTTTACAACAAAACGTACAAATTTCAAATTATTATTCGTATGATCTTCCAATAATAAATCCAATAGCAGAATTGGATTTAAAGATCTTTTTTTAAGCAAAAACAAAAGAAATACAAGATGAAAAGATCTACGCAAGGACCAACTTCAACTTCAAATTTCGATTAATTTTACTTGTGTGATCGAATGATCGGTAATTAATTATAGAAAAGAAAGGAAAGTACGTCCCTTTTTTAATCTTTTAACCACGTATCCATGAATTTATCACTCACGCAGATTATTCGAGGACACAGGTATCGTTCGCGTTAATCAGCCTGTTCGTGATGGTGATGGGCTTTTTCTTCTCCATCTACACGTTCCGCAACCCACGATACATGTTCAAGCGATTGGCCGGTGGAATACATTTCATTAGCGGTAATTAATCCCAATTACTCTACCCTTCTCTCTCTCTCTCTCTCTTTTCTAATTATTTAAAACTATATATGCATATCGAATATCTTTCCAAGACACATTATTTTTCGATTAAAAGTTAGTTCTACTTAACTACTTAAAATTTTTTATGTATTATTTATGTATTAATTATTTGAAAAAATGATTCAAAGATCCAACATGAGATCCTGAAGCACATTTTTCCTTTCCAATTGTTCCTGTCCCGGGGCGAGAGTTTGGATGAACGTTTAACCTGGTTGCAGCCGCGTGCAACATGGTGGTGATACAAGTTCTCCTCTCCTCGATCGAGTTCGAGAGCAAACACGTGCACACAACGTTCCCAAAGGATGCGATCCTCAAGTACAATTTCTCGTTGATCCTCGCGTGGATCGTGTTCCTGTGCAACCTTCTCGCCGGATGCGCCTTCATGCTGTTCTCCAGGAAGCGGAAGAGGGACAAGGCGCCCACCGAGGAGATCGCGATGGCCGACGAGCCGACCATCATCGGCCGTTGATCTTTTTTTAATTATTAAAACGATTACCTTATCGAACGATCATCGATCGCGAGAGAATATTTTTGTGATCGAGTGGAACGTAATGATTTAAAAAAGACTCGATTCTGTGTCGTATAGGAATCGTTTCCAAGACACGTCTCGAGCGATTAACTTTCGATGATCGAAGTTAAAAAAAAAAAAAGAAAAGAAAAGAAAATAGAAAGAAAAGAGATGCTTCGAGACGATAGATGGCTCGAGCTTTTCGCGTGCATTTTGCGATCGTTGCGAATGAAAAGTTGAATATCGTGGTGCATTTGAATGATACGTATGGTTTAATGATTCTGATTCTGATTTTCGAAATGAGAATACATAACGATGAATTATTTTCCCTTAAAACTCAAACTTTTGACTTAAATTCTATCTTCGAATAGGATGTGATTATATCATATCGTATATAAAAAGGAGTAATACTCTCGTGCTTTATTTTTCAATAAATAATTGTTGAAATACGAATGAACAGAAAGTTTTTTTCTCACGCTCAAACGTGTATTAACTTTTTGTGCGTGGGTTCGAACGAATGAATCATCAATTAAAAGTTGAAAACAAAGGATGCACCTCGATATCCAATTATCCTCTAACTGGTTCCAACAATACACTCGTGGTTGAACATTGCATAATAATTTAACTAACTGATAATCACTATTCTTACAACCTATTTTTGTATCACGAAGTTTGAAATACCTTATTGAACCCGGGACCATCCGAAGATTAGTCGAAAAATCTCTCTCGTGGCGAAATCAATTTTGCATAAAAATTCTAAAAAAAAAAAAAGCTTTTTGTGTAAGTTGATTCAATGTCGTGTTTAAGAAATCACATAATACAGTATATAATATCGTACAATCAAACCAAAATCTATATATACCTATATCACGTTTATATTTTATACCGTATTTTTCTACCCTCTTCGATAACTTCGTCTTCGAATTTAAAAAAAAAAAAAAAGAAAAAAAAAAGAATATATAATATTCCGAATTATTTTTTACTAACCGATAAACAATTTTTTAATGAAAAAAAATATTTATCTAAATATACTTATTCGTATAGAAAGAGGATACAATATTACATAGATATAGAAATTTCGAAACGAAACTAGTACTTTATATATTATATTACTATTAGGGCGTATATCAAGTTCAGAAACTATTCTGCAACGTTATACGTCGCGAGCGAGAATCTACGCTAATTAAAATAAGGAAACAATGTTCAACTTGGAAACTTGACGAACCAGTAATTGCGGGGAGTGAAGTGGAATTATCTCGAGATATTCTCGAGAATGCTAGAGTTTCCATCCCCGATAGGATGGAATTGTGTCATTTGTGATTGAAACATTTTTAATGAACGATCGTTAATAGATAATTAATTTTATGAAAATACTCAACGAACGGATGAACGTTTGTCCAGAACTTTGTACAGATTCATAATTTTATCACGAGTTTAAACAATAATTTATTTTAAATTGTTTAAATGGAATTTTGATCGAATTTTTCTTAATTTTTTTTTTCTTTTTTTAAATAAAAGGTATTGAAAGGATGCAAAAAAGAGATGAAAGATCTCGATAAAGTCTCTATTAAAATGATTCTAGTCATGAAAAATTTTATGTTTTGTACCGATTGTGCAATGACGAAACGACCGGAATGAAGATTATTTTCGAATCGAGAATCTGTTTAATATCAAAATATATCGTGCCACTTCGAGAGTGATTATTTATTATTAAGTCCACTATGCTAGTCGATAAAGATGTAACGATCATAAACGTACAACGTTTCACATTAATTTAGGATTATAATTATAATCCTCGTTTAAACAAAGTTCAAAGACACGAATTGTGTGTATCGTCGTTGTGTGATCGATTTAAAAAAAGTACTTACTTCGCCTATATGTAAATAATTTCACAATCCAATCTTTTACTCAATCTTTAAGAATATCTGAGAATGGTGCAAGCTTTAAGTATGAAAGAATAAATTGTCTTTGTATTTATGAATAGCACATATATATATACATATAAATGTTTCCAACGTACATTTTTTTTGAAACAGGATATATCCAGTTTTCTTGCACCATTCTCGTTTTCATAGCGTACGATTACAGGAAGTTTCGTCGACTTTCTCGTAAGAATCGAGATTTTTACGACGACGAGGAATCTTATTTAGAAGTTAAAATCACGAGGATATTCGTGAGAAAAATATTAATCGTTTTTATAATAAATTCGTCTACACAAAAGGCAAATCTATAGGCTATTCGTATAATTTGTACTCTTATCTACGCACTTTGTAGTTGCTTGAGTTTCGAGTTTGTTTTCCTTCGTATCAAAAATTATGTGAATCAACGTTCGCTGATCGAAATTATTTTTAATTTATTGTGATAAGAAAAAAAAACAATGGAGAAGAACTTTGTATGAAATACGTAAATGCGAGATGAACGAAATATTAGAAAATTTTTAATTAAACGTAAAAAAAAAATGAGATTTCATTGATTTACTTTGATTATTTTATAAAAATATATATTAATATATAAATATATATAATATATAATAATTGCATCGATTAGTGAACATTGATCCCACTGAATAAAGTGCAGAAAAAAAAAAAATATCCGATTGAAAGTTCCTTCGCCTTTTGCTTGTTCAATATAAGCGGCTGCCCATGTATTCTGATAAAAGACATCTACTTTATACACGTGTACATGACATGAGAATAAATGTAATTGTTCTTTTCCACGATCGAAATAAAGGGTATTCACAAATACCAATAAAATGTTGACAATTCGAATTTAATTAAAAATAAAATTAATTTTGTCCAAATTATGTTGATTGAACAAAAAATATTTTAATATTTTATATTCTCTTAGAAAATTCAAATTATTATATTATCTCTGTTAAGATTTTTAATCGATAAGTTAGACAAAAAAAAAATAATAAAGTTAATCAGATATTAAGTTGTGTCTCTTAGCGCATAAATTCTCTCCATGAAACAGACAAGGAAAGCAAATAGTAAGAAAAAGACGGAGATAGGTTAAAAATGTTGAAATCAGCGCCATCTTCAGAGTGCCGCAAATGAAACTCACAAACAAAGGACAGAAAATAGTGTGATAAAGACAGAGATATAAGAATTAACATTCAGCACCATCTAACGAATGTTACGAACATCTTTATTTTTAAAGATTTTCGGGAGATGGCGCTAATAGTCAATTCTTATTCTACCTTATCCTTTTCGAAGAAGTATCTCTATTAGTTGAGAGATGATGTTGAATGTTAATTCTTATTCTACCTTATCTTTTTCGAGGAAGTATTTTTATCAATCGAGAGATGACGCTGATTGTTAATTCCTATTCTACCTTATCCTATTAAAGAAGTATCTTTATCAGTCAAGAGATGGCGTTGGTTGTCAATTCTTATTCTACCTTATCCTGTCGAAGAAGTATCTCTATTATTCGAGAGATGGCGTTGAGCGTCAATTCTTATATCTCTATCTCTCTCGCTCTATTTTCTGTCCTTTGTTTGTGAGTTTCATTTGCGGCACTCTGAAGATGGCGCTGATTTCAATATTTTTAACCTATCTCTGTCCTTTTCTAACTATTTCCTTTTCTTATCTAACTTGCTCTATATATTTATGCGTTCTAGAGATGCTTTGTCGATATTTAATAATTAATTTTATTGTTTCTTTGTCTAAATTAATAATTAAATATTTAAACCATCGTTATATAATTACAATATAAGTGTTTATTGATCATTGTATTATAATTATCGTTTGTATTACTTCATGATATATTAATTTAAAATAACAAAGTTGATTTAAAATCAAGTATTTTTAACATTTAATTTGTAATATAATGTATGATTTAAGTTTTCTTTCAATTGATACTGTAAAAAATAGTACAGTATAACGAATTTAGTAATGGACATCCTGTGACAAACTAAAAGAAATGTTACGATCGTAACAACTGATAACATTCTTTAGTTTGATTTATTACTGCGTTAATTGTGCAAAGAATAATGTACAATTCATGACTGCACAAAGAACATGGTAATGGAACTCAATAAAATTGACTCTTACTAACTATATAACGTTATTACGTTATATAATTACGTATAAATAATATAATATAATAAAATATTATACTTATTATAAATGTTAATAGTCATAGAAAATTAAAAAAATTTTTTAATTAGAATTTAATAAAAATTTTTTCAAATATCATAACATTAATAATATCAATCTTCATAAATTTAAATTAAATTAAATTTGATTTCTTTTCAAATTATTCTTTGATTCTAATTTTCATTCAATTTTTCCTATAATTTCTTCGTTCATTGAGATCGATGAACTTAAATTCATGAATAAATTTAATCATACATGAATATTAAAAAAAAAAGAAGAATCTTTTTCAGGTAATCATAATTAAAATTAACCAGTTTCCGTCAGATACAACTGGTTCGTGATTCACTTTCACTTTAATATTTTTAATTCTTTAACTATTGTTGAAGGTTACACAGGATTGTCATTATTTTTTATAAATTTTTATATATTCTATTAATAAAATTATTTTATTATCAATCAAATTATAAACGTATATAAGTTAATCGAAAAAAATTTCTTTCTTTAAGTCAAAAATTAACAAAAACGGAATGCCTGAGTCGCGTTAATTTAAAAAGTATATATAAACATGCATTTTACATATTACAATGAACTCGCGATAACATAGTATTGGAAAAAGTTAAATTGAAAAGAAAAGAAAAGAAAAATTAATTGAAAAAAATTTCTTCTATTGACCATTATTATTTTGATCATTATAATTAAATTTTCTTCTTTTTAGCAATTACGTTTATTATCGTAATAAACTTACAAAAAAAAAAAATACATCAAAAAGGAGAAAGTGCAGGATTTTTAAATCATCGTGACTAATAATTCATAAAAAAATTCCAGGTATAAAATTCATTTATTTCTGTTTCCTTTTTTTTTTCAATATTTCTATATTTAATTATAGAAGCTAACGTTATTTATATATTTATCCTTGATGCGAGATATCTGCAATCGAGCAAGATTCATTAAGGACATTCAGTTCTTGGATTTCCTGTTTGAAATAATTCTGTTTTATCGAGATCATTCTCTTTCATCTTACTACAATATTCATATATGTATATATATATTTATATATATATTTATATATATGTGTGTGTATAATAACATTCGATAATTTTATCTTTTCTAATATTATTAGAATTTTAATTATTAAATAAT